TATACACCATAAACAAAGTGCATTGATTTATGGCCCGAGTTCGGTCTCTGTCACGGTATGTAATTACGCAGACAGGCAGGTGTGATAACTTGAACACATAACACGTTATGATGTCTGTTGATTGCAAAATGTTATACACAAAAAATGAGCATGTATTTAGAAACCTAACATCTCTATATATATACACACAATGAGCCGTGAGGGCATCTGCAAATGAACCAGCCGTTACGCTTGAGTGCACCCACCCTCTCTGACCTGGCCATTGTGTGTCATATAACATGGACGGGCGACAGTGTAAGCCATCTCTCATGTGACCTGGTTAATTGTGTGTCATATTACATGGACGTGCGACGAGGTGTAAGCCATCTCTCACGAGACCTGGTTAATTGTGTGTCATCTTACATCGACAGATGGCAGTGTAATCTCATCCCTCACGTGACCTGGTTAATTGTGTGTCATCTTACATCGACAATATGTTACAGTGTAAGCCATCTCTCACGTGACCTGGCCATTGTGTCATATTACATGGACGGGCGACAGTGTAAGCATCTCTCACGTGACCTGGTTAATTGTGTGTCATATAACATGGACGGGCGATAGTGTAAACCATCTCTCACGTGACCTGGTTAATTGTGTGTCACATTACATCGACATGTGACAGTGTAAATACATCTCTCACGACCTGGTTAATTATTGTGTTACATTACATGGACATGTGACAGTGTAAACCATCTCTCCGTGACATGGCCATTGTGTGTCATATTACATGGCCACGACAGTGTAAGCCATCTCTCACGTGACCTGGTTAATTATTGTGTCATATTACATGGACGGGCGATAGTGTAAAGCCATCTCACGTGACCTGGTTAATTGTGTGTCTTAATTACATCGACATAATGACAATGTAAGTCATCTCTCCGTGACCTGGTTAATTGTGTGTTACATTACATCGGACATGTGACAGTGTAAGCCATCTCCACGTGACCAGCTGGCCATTGTGTGTCATATTACATGGACGGGCGACAGTGTAAGCCATCTCTCACGTGACCTGGTTAATTGTGTGTCATATAAAATGGACGGGCGAAAGTGTTAGCCATCTCTCACGTGACCTGGTTAATTGTGTGTCACATTACATCAACATGTTACAGTGTAAGGCATCTCTCACGATGACCTGGCCATTGTGTGTCATATTACATGGACGGGCGACAGTGTAAACCATCTCTCGTGACCTGGTTAATTATTGTGTCATATTAAATGGACGGGCGATAGTGTAAGCCATCTCACGTGACCTTGTTAATTGTGTGTGTCATATTACATGGACGGGCGACAGTGTAGAAAGCCATCTCACGTGACCTGGCCATTGTGTGTCACATTACGTTGACATGTGACAGTGTAAGCCATCCCTCACGTGACCTGGTTAATTGTGTGTCATATTACATGGACGGGCGATAGTGTAAGCCATCTCTAACGAGAACTGGTTAATTGTGTGTCATCTTACATCGACAGATGGCAGTGTAAGCCATCTCTCACGTGACCTGGTTAATTGTGTGTTACATTACATGGACATGTGACAGTGTAAGCCATCTCTCCCGTGACATGGCCATTGTGTGTCATATTACATGGACGGGCGACAGTGTAAGCCATCTCACGTGACCTGGTTAATTCATTGTGTCATATTACATGGACGGGCGATAGTGTGTAATCCATCTCACGTGACCTGGTTAATTGTGTAATCTAATTACATCGACATGTGACAATGTAAGTCATCTCTCACGTGACCTGGTTAATTGTGTGTTACATTACATCGACATGTGACAGTGTAAGTCATCTCACGTGACCAGCTGGCCATTGTGTGTCATATTACATGGACGGGCGACAGTGTAAGCCATCTCTCACGTGACCTGGTTAATTGTGTGTCATATTAAATGGACGGGCGAAAGTGTTAGCCATCTCTCACGTGACCTGGTTAATTGTGTGTCACATTACATCAACATGTTACAGTGTAAGGCATCTCTAACGTGACATGGCCATTGTGTGTCATATTACATGGACGGGCGACAGTGTAAGCCATCTCTCACGAGACCTACCTGGTTAATTGTGTGTCATATTAAATGGACGGGCGATAGTGTAAGCCATCTCTCACGTGACCTGGTTAATTGTGTGTCATATTACATGGACGGGCGACAGTGCAAGCCATCTCTCACGTGACCTGGCCATTGTGTGTCACATTACGTCGACATGTGACAGTGTAAGCCATCCCTCACGTGACCTGGTTAATTGTGTGTCATATTACATGGACGGGCGATAGTGTAAGCCATCTCTAACGAGAACTGGTTAATTGTGTGTCATCTTACATCGACAGATGGCAGTGTAAGCCATCTCTCACGTGACCTGGTTAATTGTGTGTTACATTACATCGACATGTGACAGTGTAAGTCATCTCTCACGTGACATGGCCATTGTGTGTCATATTACATGGACGGGCGACAGTGTAAGCCATCTCTCACGAGACCTGGTTAATTGTGTGTCATATAACATGGACGGGCGATAGTGTAAGCCATCTCTCACGTGACCTGGTTAATTGTGTGTCACATTACATCGACATGTGACAGTGTAAGTCATCTCTCACGTGACCTGGCCATTGTGTGTCATATTACATGGACGGGCGACAGTGTAAGCCATCTCTCACGTGACCTGGTGAATTGTGTGTCATATTACATTGACGTGCGATAGTGTAAGCCATCTCTCACGTGACCTGGTTAGTTGTGTGTCACATTACATCGACATGTGACAGTGTAAGCCATCTCTCACGTGACCTGGTTAATTGTGTGTCACATTACATCGACATGTGACAGTGTAAGTCATCTCTCACGTGACCTGGTTAATTGTGTGTCACATTACATCGACATGTGACAGTGTAAGCCATCTCTCACGTGATATCAGTATCCAGCTATATGCGATATCCTAATGAGTATTTTATGATATTTAAAAACAATTGTACCTAATGAACAATCGATTTGTGATATAAACATATACATATATGAATAATTTATTTGTAGCCAGTCGCCAACAAGGAACCATGCAACCGACGAAACATGGCGTAATAAACATTAAACTACCTAACTCCTTAGATAATTGATACACACGTGCTGAGCCCATGCATAAAATCTCTGGTCGATGAATTGTATGACCATGACAATTTATTATACCTACATTGCCCTTCTCAACATTGCCTCTGGCTAAGACTGAATATAACCCCAAACTCTCTTTGTCTGTCTCATTTCCATGGAGACGGATCGAATCATTTGTCAGAAGAGGAGCCAATTCCTGGCGTCTCCCGCGGTGATATGAGTGGAAAATTCCCGTCAGCAGCGCTAAGCCCTTCCACTCCAGCAGTCGTTAACGGGAAGCCGCGCTTGATTGTAGTTACCTCCCTTGTAGCCAAGCCCCCTGTCGCGCTCGTGACGCACTTCCCACGGCAGAAATAGGCTCAAACTGCTCAATGGTTTAAGGGTTTGCCAGTGCGAAAAATAAAAACTGTGGGCGGTCTTTCCTAGAATGCGCACACTAAGCTAAACGGTTCCCGATATGTTGTATTTGACCTAGGCAGATGTGAGAGCTTGTCGGGGGAGGTGAAATAGTTTTCACATATTGATGGTGAACGGATCAGCCCAGACTCTTGAGGCCCTGGAAGTGCGTGTCGACGGTGGGTGATATAGACACACTCTTCGAAAGGGTAAACGCGGAAGGTATTGGCTGTAGTATCATATAATTAAAATATGTATCGAGAACAGAAAGACCACAAATAACGATATTGACGATAGATTAACACTGTTTTAATCACTGTAATGGACAACAATATACAACCATACAATATTGTATGAGTTTCTTGGAGAGGGAACTTGGGGAGGGGCTGAACAGAGAGGCAATGAAAATAATGTATTCGATAGTTTAGGAATATTTTATTATTGATATATACAATAATATAATCAAACAATGGGTATGACTTAAAGGTGGCGGGAGCTTGGGTATGAAATGCGATGGGGAGGGTAAGCATTGCAGGTGTATAGAGGCCGTATACGAACGTGAATAGTAACACATACATACGTGAACATAATTAAATAGCGTCATTAAGAGATGTTGATAGTAGGTGCATTGAATGAGGTAAAATATTTTTGCATGAGGTTTGATCGTAATAAAAATATTGATAAATGTGTATAAATATCACCTGGACGAAGCTGGGATTTACTCAGAGAAAACACACAAAAAAGAAAAAGAAAACAACATTATACAGACCAAGGAACGGATGAAATGTGAAAGACGAGTTTTCTATGTGAAAAATAAAAACATCCTTGTTTCTTTTCAAATGTAGTGAAAGAGGATTAACTTGGCATTATAACGAGTGTTCATCTTATAACGAATAATTAATTTGTTGTGATGAATTTCTCTTGTCAGAAGCAGTTTACGTCTCTGAAAAAGGTATTTTGTATTCTATTTGTTCAACACTGGTAGTACAATAACAATATTCTTAACGTCGTGTTATATATAAGGACATTCGTTAGTATACATTTTTATACATGGAACCTTTTTTATTGAGATAAATTTAAATGATAGAGGTATACCTATGTATAGGCATACTTACATGTTCTGTATGAACAGTGAGGATCGCATGTAGACCATAATTATTTATGAGTATATTTTATATATTATTAAATATACAGTACAATTGCATAATTAATGCGACAGAAGAACTATTTGCTCAGGAGCAGGAGGCCAGCATCGCTCAGGAACAGTACTACTGATATGGCGTGTGAATTGCATAACGACCCAGAATTGGGATACTTATAGTGTCACATTATCTGAAACATTTCATTCTCAAACCCATGTGTATAGTGTGTAAATATATGTGGGCTTCCAGCCAAACACCTCTACACATGCGATCCGCTTTCGCAGCAAAGCCGATCCAACACCCAATCGATTTTCACGCACGCGCAGTGTGACCTAGATGGTTCAGCAGACATTGTCTCGACGGGTCTGGGTGTAGACTTTGCTCGATTCTCAAGACCCATATTGGGGTTCTGTGATTTCACATTACCTTCATTCATATGTCTTGACTAACTAAAGGACTTACACCGACATTTAAGGTGAGTTTGGATGCGTTTGATCAAGTAGTTTCCATGCTAACGAACAATTTTCTGGTGACCCCCGAACCAAAACAACCATCTGGTGACTTCCCATTTCGCCGAGACGTCTCCAAATCGATACAGATAGCGTTCAGTAAGGCATTATGTCCGATCCAGCCTATATTGTAGTTGTTTTAGCTACCAAGTGCCGAGATACCGGATGTTTGAAATGTGTGGAGTTGTATTTAGTGTGTGTGTCCCACGTTCTATTCCAGTGCAGACAATGAGCGAGCGAACCCGCTGGTTTCGTTATCATAAGGGGCCCGGTTAGGGTTGGGAAATTCTAAGAGCATTAAATTCGCTGTAAGATGTGATTCAATATCAGGATATTTACCTAGAAATTTTGATTGAGTTATGATGGCATTTGAACATTACTAACATTATGCTTATCGTTTAAATTGCTTTGTCTTAACTGGAGGTTGTTTATGTTATGAATGATGAGCTACCATTCAGTAGGGTATGTGCAAGGTCTTTTCCGTGCGTTTACAAACTTACCATTGTCATATTGTTGTGCCCATATGAATAATTTTAGATTGACAGGTTTGACTTTTTAGTATATGCACAGTGTTGTTGTGGTGTTATATCTTGTACATGTTTGCTCTAATACATGATACATGAAGTATCACAACAAATGATTGATTTTCACATCTTCAACCCACACCATGTAACATGCACATGTACACACATGATCTATTTCCCACGCAAGTCATCAATATTATAAGCCATGCAAACTATTGTTTTATTATATTTTTTATTATCAGGAATTGTAGTGATTTTTGTTTAGAAACAATCATTAATATCATGAATACTAGGATACAGTTGACTCCTGGCTTTCACTTGTGCAGCTGAGTTTGTCATGTTTATTTGTATTGTGTGGACAATGCTGTTGTTTTTTTTCTAGTGCCAGGTAACATGAATATGGCAAACGTGAGTCTAAGCACCTCTTCATCATTTGTTGTCTGAAGCCTCTTTTGATCTTTCAAGTGTATTTTAGTGATGAGTGAAAATTGCCTTTATGACAACACAAGGTGTAATGTAATTTGAAAAGCTTTTAAGAAACACTGTACGCGCTGTGTTGTCTTGTGTGAAATTAGCTTCCTCCCAGGAGCTGCATTATCGTGTGTAACTGAGTATTCAGTGTGCAAAATAGTTTCCAAACTTGGTTAGCCAGACAGGCTAGCTATGCCTGAAAGTTTATTAGACCACAAAATAATTCACTAGCCCAAATTTCTGAATGTAGAAACTAAGTAAGAGATTACATAAAGGTACAATACCATAAAAAACAAATAAGAAAACACATGTCTGAAATATTTTGTTTATGCTCAAATAAGTCATTACTTATACTTTGTAAATATCTCTTCATCCAATGATCCAATCGATCTCAAACTGTGCAAGTGGATGTTTTGTCAGACAACCTAATCACATTGTAAATCACCAATGTTATGCATTTGTATGAAAGAATCTGTCTATGTAACTGTCAACAAAATAAACAGCAGAACGCAGACTGCTTGCAGAGGGAGGGAGCCAATGACCTGTAACAGCGACAGTGGTGGGTCATAAGGGTCAATGCACTTGCAGTTCATGATAGTTACCTGTGCACTGCACAGTGATAGACCGTTTGGATCATTCACATTGACTACTTCTAGCTGTCATCATGAAAGCTTATTCAGATGATGCTAAATGTTTAACCCCCTTGATGCCGAGTTTTTTTTCAGGCGCACATTTTCATACTTTTTGAAAAGTGAACGTTGTGCGAGAATTGCGCTCGCGTGGTCCTGGATCAACGTACGGCTATAAAATTACACAGAAATGTAGAATATTAAATTTCCAATCCGTTGGTATAAATATAAGTGCAACTACCTCGGCGGTTTGAGAAATAGACCTTGCTAAATGTTGTCCAAATTGTTGTTATCCGTTAAAAAACAGTAAATTTCTCAGGTTTTTATCTCGCACCAATAAAAGCACTGTGCTACGAATGTTTTATTTTGGCATCTTTACGGAAAGTGTGAGTGAAGAAAATACAGCCTGATATCTGAACGACATAAGTGTACATGAATTGGATTTATGTGCTTATGCATATCATTATCGCTCAACATTAAAAATGACTCGCTAATAAATGTCAAAATGGATTTTCTTCTATGACGTCAAACGACGACAGAGAGGTCATACACGTATAATGATAAGGGGACATAACTCCGTTATGCTTAATACTAGGTCAATGTAACTCAGATCACATGGAGAGTATTTTTTGTGGATACGGACGCTATATTTTCGTTATTTTTTGTTCACGGTGAACCAAACTATTCCAATTCAAAGTTCCCCAATAAGAGCGGATACGCTTTGGTAGTTTCACAATTTATAAGAAAAGATGACAACGTACTACATGTGAAAGCGCGTAATAGCGATTTGCATGGCCCTATCCGATATATAAGTTAGTTCTCCGATTCCCATATTCTCCTGTTTGTGTAGATGTATTTTGACTAATTTTGCATCGTTATTACAAGAGTACTAGCCATATCTTCAAATGTAATGAAATTGCTGAAAATAATACAACATTTTAGTTGACGTCATTGCTTGTTTTGTGCATTTTGCGACGTCGGAAAAAGACGACATTGGTATGCTGATTGGTATATATCTCACCCAATTTCCATTAATTTTGTGAAAGGGTTTCGGCTTCTTTGTCAGGATTAACACTCTTTAGACAAAACATAAAATGACTGTTTTTTTCATTTAAATAGTGTCCTGAATATATCAACAATTAGACAGTTTGACTGTGTATCTTATCATGAGCAACACGAGCACCTGTTTGGCATCAATTTAACGTAAATGAAAAATAACATTTCACAACACCCGAATATTTTGTTTAGGATAAGAATTTTCTTTATTTATGATTATGTAGCTATTTCTCTTCATAAGTATGCAATGGAAGATGCAAAAGATAGCTTTTATAGATGGATCTAGTAATGCATTACTATATATTAGAATATGGATGTAAGATTTGTCTAAATTAAGACATGACATGGTTTATATATTTTAAACAATTTTCGTATAAATATAGTTAGAGTTTGATATCCTGTCATCACAATATTGTTAAATCGAATATGAATTGATTATATTATCGAAAACAATGATAGTGAATCATGAAACGTTTCCGACAAACGCGCATCTGGCCAATCAATGTACATCATTGTTTTCTCTATAAAACGACACAGAAATGTGCAAAGAACAAGACAATTCCTTTAAATGTGTGTGCATATACATTTCATAACATACATAAATCATTTTCATTAAATATTATCAGCTTTACTTATAAGGTTTAATGAAATCGCCGTTCATTAACCTGTTCATGTCAAACTGCAATATTAGTTCAAATGCATTGAATATTGTACATCATAGGAACTAAAGTAATTGCAGTTATGGCTACGTTTGATCTTCTAACACTTGTGTAAAGGTTTAGAATATAATGTACTGCACTAAATGTGTCAATTTCTTATGTAAATATTATTCAAACAATCATAGATTGTTCAAAGAATAAAACACTGTAAGCCCTATATGCACGTATGATATGATATTGGACAAATGTAGATACTGAAGTGAGTTTCATGAAAAAGTGTCTGAACGATACTCAAAATAAACATCATAATACTGAGAGTGAGAGGGTGATCGGAAGGATTGGGCGATTGTGTTTACTCTTGTTCAACCGACCTTCACCTCAAAGAAATTGCCTAATATGTACAACAATGTTGACGTATGACATCACTACCGATGACCTCTTTCTTACAAAATGGCGGCTTTGCTGACAAGGATACACAGGATTTTGCGAGGACCCTTCCATTGATTCAGTGATCGTTTGTACATAACTATGACATGTAAGTAATCAGAATGATTCTGACTATCTGTGTATTGTTATATGTTTTTATCGTTTTCACTGTAAGAAAGAGAAGAAGCCAGAAATGCTGATAATTACACTTGTCGATTCTGCATTGATTTTTCGCCAGTCATGTATGCCACGCTGCACGGAAATTTTGACAATTTCTGATGAATTATCAAATCATTGCATTGTATCTATTTATAATTTCCTATTTCTTACTACGATACTCTTTCCATGCATATTCCAAATGTATTGAGCCATTGCAAGCAATGAATAGACGGATGAATGTTGGAAAATTTCAGAAAATGCTACGCAATGTAAAATCGGAATTTGTCTTTGTTTACATTTGGAACCAGCGCAGTCTTTGGAGCACGTGTTCGTTTTCACACCCAATATGTTTCGTCTCATTTTATCTGGACAGTTGGTATTGGTGACAAAGACCAGTTGCAATTTGATTCTAAAATGTATGGGGAATTCAGTGATGCATTTTTCGAAGCTGAATATGAAATATACCTGATGTAATAGGCGTCTCAATACCGGCCTTCGCGAAACATGATTTTGTAAACACTATCCAATATGGCGGAAAGCGTTCTACGGCGTTCGTGTAAGTGTATTTTCGAAAACATCCCAACCGATTCTAGATTCATCGGCAACGTTTCAGAATTATCATTAGCGATTTCATGTAAAAGTGATATCAGTGTTAATTAATATGTTATTTTTTAAATTCAATACTCCCAGGAATTATCCGATTTTCACATTTCAAAACATACAGCAAATAACGCTGTGAATCGCGATTTCGTACTTTGTCAAAAATGACGACATTTTTTATGAAGCCTATTTTGAAAGGTCATTTTCAGCACTTGAGCTTTGTCTAAAATAGTAGTGGATGGTATCAAGAAACAGGACATTTCCCGCAGAATTCGAAATTGTGAAGTGTATTTGTGTGCGTGGGATATTTTGATTGTTATTGGACTTGAAATTGAGGGTTGAAGGGGAAGGACATATATGTCCCTGTGGCATCCAGGGGGTTAATTAGAAATGTGTTGAATTTTTTTTAAAAAGAGAGCAAACGTAGCAAACCGATTTATAAGGTGTCGGATTACATGAAACTTACAACTTTTGCTCTTGGCATGAAAAAGAACATCGTGCTAAAAATTGTGAAAAATAAACCAACAACCAAGAAACAAAACCTTGTACAAAAAGGTAGGCATCCAAAGTTAGATTCTTTTGACATCAGGGTCATCAGAGATGTCATTCGCCAGCTATTTGCTAGAAATGAACACCTGTCCACAAGAAAGTTAAAACTCATCCTTGCAGAGGATCACGACATTAATGCTGCTAGGTTTATGTTAAGCAAACTACTGCTCAAATTTGGATACAAGTACAAGAAGGTAGCAAACCAGAAACTTGTAATGTGTGAGAGATCTGATATTGCGAAAATAAGGTGTAACTATCTGAGAGAAATTAAGCAGGCAAGAGAGGATGGGTTCGAACCTATATATCTGGATGAGACCTGGGTCAATGCAAACCATACTGCTGTCAGACAGAGGCTACCCATTGATCCCAGTGATAGTAGGAAAATACCAACAGGCAAAGGTGAACGGTTAATCGTTCTTCATGCTGGTTCCCACCGTGGATTCCTACCTGGGTGTGATCTGGTATTTCGGTCAAAGAGCACATATGGTAGGGACTATCATACAGAAATGAACTCAACGGTTTTTACACAGTATGTTGAGGAACAATTGTTGCCAGCTCTGCCTTACAAAAGTCTTGTTGTCATGGACAATGCGCCTATCACAGTGTTCGAGATCCAAACAATAGGTGCCCAACCTCCAATACAAAGAAGTCAGATATGCAGCAATGGCTAACAAATAACAATATACAATTTTCAATTAAGGCCACTAAACCACAGTTGTACTCTTTGATTAAACCTAACAAACCTACACCCAGATATAACATTGACAACATGCTACGCCAACACAGCCATACGGTCTTGAGATTACCACCGTACCACTGTGATCTCAACCCAATCAAACTTATTTGGGGAGACCTTAAAAGTACAGTTGCCCGGAAAAATCAATCATTCAAGTTGAATGATGTCAAGCACATTGTCAACACTGCTATATGTGACATTGACATTGCACGCTGGCATGCATGTGTTGAACATGTCAAGAAGGTGGAGAAAGAGTACTGGCTCAAAGATGGCTTGAAGGAGCAAACAGTTAATCCAGTTGTCATTCGTCTGGACCCTGATGATTCCTCTGTGGAAGAATGGAGTGAACTTGATGAAGTTTAATTCTATTATTATGTTTACAGATAATAATAGTATCCAGCCAGATATGCTCAGAGAAATATGACTTCTTTTAACAATGACAGCACTGACTAATTCCAACAACTTATAGTGTAACATGAAACACTCTTTTCACATAAAATTATCATGAAAATATAAATACTAACTATCTATATGCTTAAAGTTATTAGAAATGCATTGTTTAATTTGGAATGTGAACGACATCAAAACATAACACTTTTGTCTTCATTCTATCTTTTCTTCAATGAGTGTGCATGATTGTGTGTGCTTGTGTCCGAGGGAACGGGGCTTTAACAGTTGTTGAGTTCTAACCATAGGTGGTCCGATTAATGATTTAGTGTAAATATACTTTCTGTGTTCTTTAAATGCATTTCCACTTAGGTACTGCATAAACAAAATATGACATTAACATTACAAATTTAAAGATTTTAACCTACAGAATAATTCTCACAAATGGGTTTTGTGGTTAATGTTGAACAACTCAGAGAAACAAACTCTGTAGGATGGTTAACAGTTGGCACCCACCTTACCCTATTGATGACCTGTGACACCTCTTCATACCTGTCACGTGCATAGCTGACCTACATTGACGAACGTTGACCTTTATGACCCACCACTGCCGCTGTTACAGGTCATTGGCTCCCTCCCTCTGCAAGCAGTCTGCATTCTGCTGTTTATTTTGTTGACAGTTACATAGACAGATTCTTTCATACAAATGCATAACATTGGTGATTTACAATGTGATTAGGTTGTCTGACAAAACATCCACTTGCACAGTTTGAGATCGATTGGATCATTGGAAGAAGAGATATTTACAAAAAACGGGTCCACATGCATTTCATGCCAAACCATATGTACACTTCGCCCAGGAAATGAAAAGACACAAGTTGGGGCTAGTAGTACTAGTAGACACAAACATACATGACACAAACATACATGTATTTCACAATAGGAATCACATAGACTGCAATTAGGGCATTGATAGACTGTTATATTCATCTAAATCATGATATTTTGGTAAGCACTATACCGGACACAGTGTGGACTAGTAGTGGAAAATATATGCTTCATTATATGTTCCTGTATCATTAGAAATATAATGTATCACGAACTTATGTATGTAGAGAAGTATTCTTGGTGGATAATGTTTGTTTTCATTTTCCATCCAGACTATGAATGGACAACATACCCAAGTGTTCAGACCTTGAGTCCTTGTAAAAACGTTAACTGGAAATACTACTGCAGAAAATTGTTGATTCGATAAAAAAAATGAAAGCCGTTCTCATTCAAATATTTGAAATTGCACTCCTTGGCCTTTCTTTGTTTTTGATACTTACATACAGCAAACACTGACACAGTGCCTAACATGCTTAGTCCTTGTAGGATTCCTGGAGGCTGATACACAGCTCTTCAGACAATTTGGTAATAATTCTCAAATTTGGTAGTTAAGAACATGCCCTTAGTTTGCAACCTAGCTACTTCTCTGTAAAGGTGGTAACCGAACCATTATTGAGATAAAGGCATTACATTCATAGTTTGGCTCTTTGATGTTGAGTGTAATTTTGAAGTATGTTTGAATTTAAGTCTAAGGATGTTTGTTTAAGAAAATGTAGGTGTTAATATAGTTTAAAAACATTTCCAAACTTTTAACATTTTGCCTTAGCTTCTTGTCACAGGAACCTAGTTTGAAACCCTAGCAAATCCTTCACCTGATTGTTATGTACTCAGGTGGGTGAACCTGACCTCTTGTATGTCACATGTTATACTTGATGGATTTGAAAACATGCAATTGTCAGTAAAAATCATCCTGATTGAAATGAAAACAGAGGTTTTGTACAGGCTGATTCTTAACAGACCTATATTTGAGCGATTTTATGTCATGTAAATGTTTGTATTTTACAGATTCTTTAAACAATGGCGGAGGCATGTACTCAAACAGATCTGGCATCTGAGGAAGATAGTGTGGAAAATGGCCAGGGTATGTAATTGATGTACAGTATATTGCTGTAGTTAAGCCGAAATTTTGAGGACCAAAAAAAACCCAGTCTGTACATGGGGGTCAGCTTATCTACGGGGTAAACTTTTGTCAACAGTTTTTCATGGGGTAAGAAAATGACATCAATATGATAGTGATTGCTGTGAATAATGTGGACCAAAGCTGTAAATATCGGAGAATAAACTTGCATTATTACCCCCCGCAACAACAAAGTTGTGGGGGGTATAGAAACGTGCGTCTGTGCGTCCGTATTTTTTGCTGTTTCCATGGAAACATGACTTAAGCTGCGACTATGAGGATGTCATCTTGTCAGGAGCAGATCTCCTAAACTATACATGCTAGCTTCATCAAACTTGGTACACATATCAAGCATGATCCATAGACGTGCCATTTGATGGTTAGACCCAGATACAAATTTATTAGTTTTCCTTATCCTGACGCATGTATTATTGCTTGTCTCCTTCCTTTCCCGAACGTTAGTGGAACACTTGTATCTCCTTTTTGAAGCTCCCTTCCAAAAAATCAGACGTAAAATCACTACTCACCACGGGTTGTCTCCCTCTGGTTTTGGCGGGAAAACGGCACCACCCGTCTTCCCATGCTTCACTCTCTCCTTCTTACCCTAGTGGACGGTTGGGAGAGCGCCTGTGTCTCCAATACGGCACTATATCCTTTGATTAATTAGTTATTTCCCTATAAGTTACCTTTATAAGGTTTCAGGGAGTATCCTTCTACAATATGGTTTGAAATTTATTCGTAATTTGACTGTTTATTCATGGTTTTTACGTGATTGTTCAGTTGTTTACATTTCATGAAAACCTGTTTTCGTTGTAGGTTTAGGTTATCTGCTGCAGACCCGCATTTACTGTGTCCCAGTTGCACAAAAATATGTACTTCCAGCTCTCGCTGTAACTTATGTCAGCAATTAACACAAATTCAATTTAATAATTATTATTTCTCTGTACTTAGGAGTGCTAAGGATAAATCCAGACGACTTTTGCAAGTCATGGATAAACCGGCTGAGTCCCTCAAGAGCTGTCTATCGTTGGCAGACGACATACTCCATCCAGTGACCTGCCGGAGGCGTCCTCTGAAGATGGGCGTGGGATGATGTCTGCCATTACATCGAAGAAAAGGTCTTCTACATCGGACAACTCCTTAACCCATACGAAGAAGAAGAGGCCATCTTCAACGCAGAAGAAATCTTACACCCCTAAGACTTCAAGCAGCTCTACGGGGAGTTCTTCGCAGATTACGAGGACCTTTTCGGCCGAAATCGTCCCGATGGAAGAGAGAGGACTTTATGATGAGCTGCTGTTGATCATCCCAGAGATACAGCATAAGAAAAGGAAGCAGGCCTCAGCAACGGTAACGTCAGCAGCCCTATCTACGCAGTCCGAGTTACCTTCTACACTGACAGCAGAGATCCATGAGGCACAGCGATCCCTGGACCATATCGCTACCATCTCAGATACGACATCTCTACAATGGTCGCAGACATTCAACCCCGGGGCCTTTATGCAGCAATTCTCTCAACAGATGATGGAGATGATGGAGAAGCGCTTCGCGCAGGAAAGAGCCTCGCATGATGGACAGCCAGGCGGCTCTCATGCTCAAGTCATCAACCTGAGAGAGGATCCAGACCTGCATGAAAGACCCCACACTGATGATACATCTGAGAGGCCCACCAGAGAATCTAGCTCTAGGACTAAGAGCAGATCTACGCTACATGACGTCAGCAAACCTGCGCGCAGGACGGCATGCTCTTCAGAACCAATGAGATCGTCATCAGATGATGAGGCTAATGAAGAACCTTCTCGCAGGGTACCCACTTCGCAGAGAAAGAAACCTACACCACCTAGAAGGTCGAGAGAGACGTTTCGGGACTCAGACCCTCAACAAAATCTCTCACCTGCGCGAAGGTCATCTGAATTATCTTCAGGAGCGTCAACAACAAGATCGTCACGGCAGTCTTCCTGGAATACATTGCCAGGAAGGCAATCGCAGATCGCCTCTTGCAGATCGCCTCTTAGAACTACACGTAGTTCAACATGCTCATCCCCACATAGATCGCCACGTAGATCGCCACGCAGATCCCCAACAAAGGATGGTCAACGATCTTATGCCAGTGGACATGATACAGAGGACAATGGCGGTATCATATTTTCGGACTCAGAGATAAAATATTGGATGGCTAATGGACTGGACCTAGCATCACCCACAGGCCCCCCACTGCGGGTCAGAAAATCGATAAACTAGGCCCCGGTTTAGTATCAACACCCCCTACTATATAATACATAAAGGTTCATCACAGAAATACGGTGACATGATCGAAAACCGGACAATTACGCACACGTCAATTACTATATCGTATTTTAAAGGTCTCACAAGTATCAAAAGCTTTTGTCCATATCTCCGATGTATGTAGGAGGCATATACAGTGCACTCTGTCTAATTCGGACCAGCTTGGGACCGACTTAAAAGTCTGAATTATACAGTAGTCCCAAGTACACAGATTTTAATGGAGTTATCTCCCTATTATCAGCAGAATTAAAATTATAAACTATTTTTCGCAATGTTATTGAAAACAACGATTCTCGGACACCTGCTTCGGGCAGCGGGTCCACAATAACATTGTCAAAGAGCAAAATTCATGAAATAAATTGAATAAACTAATGAATGAAATCAAACAACATTCATAAAAGTTGTCAAACGTACATATAAAATTACTATTTCCATCTGTTTGTGCGATCATGTAATGTAAGTCAAGTCACTGACAAGTGACATCTCGCTCGCCGCCTCAATCTTCAGCTTTCGGACCACGATGTTCAATGCGAAAATATATACATGAAGCATTTTTGGCACAGGTCATAGCCTAGCACGATAAGTCGAAATCGTTCCATCATTTACGTGATAGGTAGCAATTCCTTACTTAATATGTTCAGAATAGCATTATTTTACCCAGAACTTTTGTCTAAATCTAAAAGTTTTCGATTTCACGAGGACGGTATCCATTGCCGTAATATGATTGGCTGCCTTAGGTCATGTGTCTGATTTTGACCAATCACGACCCTGATAGCAGACTGTGGCGAAAAGCGTCATTAGAAACCAATCTTTATCCAATAAAATCGCTTCTTACAACTGATTGATATCACACTGTGTCCAAGCGGACTTCCTGCTCAGTCCGAATTATATAGCAATGTTTTTACATGCAACTACCTTATCGGGCTGACACTTTGGTCCGAAATCCGAAATAATGAGAGTCCGAGATACAGAACTTTTTTATTATGACAACAAAGAAGGATTACGTCGGGACCGTGAGTTCAGTCCTGTTTATACAGCAATCCGAGAAAGACAGAGTCCGAGTTTGACAGAGTGCACTGTACATGCGCTTTGCGTGGGGATGCATTTGATGGGTTTTATTAAATCGCCAAAGACCGAGTTGCTGTGCGGGAAGTGTACAAAACTAGGTCGTCAGCGTAATCAAATTGGTTAATAAAATGACAACAAATGCACGTGCGAAAATGAGAGGGAAACCCAAACGTCTATCATCCAAGATGTCACTATCTGATGTTTTATCTTGGTAAGAATAATTTTAAAAACGAGTACAAATAAATTTTAAAGAAACAAATTCATTCAGTGTAATGTGTTAGCCAATCAGATCGCCGGAGGTAGTGAAGTCTACTAGAGAAGGACGCTATAGAGGTGATAGACCAGGACCAGATCTCACCAGGATTCTACTCCCAAGTTTTCCTCGTACCAAAGAAAAACTCCAAAGAAGAGTTCCGACTAATTTACAACATGAGGACATTCAACGGAGATTATCTACGCAAACCAGCAAAGTTCAGCATGATTCATCTACCACAACTACTACATCTCGTCCGTCCGTTGGACCACATGGCCAGCATAGATCTACAGGACGCATACCTGCATATTCCTATACATCAGGAATCAAGGAAGTACCTGAGATTCGTACTAGACGGACGACACTACCAATGGAAAGTCCTGCCATTTGGAATATCATCGGCCCCCTGGTTGTTTACAAGAGTGACGAAGCCCATAGTCACATACCTACATCATCGAGGTCTACGCAGTGCGTTCTACCTAGACAACGGGATTCAAGCTCATCAAGATCCCAATCATCTCAGACTACAGCTGGACTTTACCATCAGGCTTCTCACACAACTAGGGTGGCTAGTGAATCTCCTCAAGTCGGAACTAGAGCCTACACAGGACCTGCAGTTCCTAGGAATTCGGCTCATCACAACAGAAAACCGCATAACAGTACCAGAGGACCGTTGGCTAAAGATACAACAGATGGTATTGCAAACTCTACTCTCTCCGTGGCCACTACGACAGTGGCAGAGCCTGTTGGGGTCTCCTCACATCAGCACAGGATACAACGCGCAGAGGGGGATTACAACTACTCCCACTACAGGTCTTCGTAAATGTACATCTGGACAATCCGGACCCCTTCGGACTCCCGGACAGACTAAAACCATATCTAATATGGTGGACTCAGAGATCGAATGTTTGCGGAGGCACCTACTTAGCAGAGCCTGAGTGCAAGACGCATCTCTCTCCAAGGTTGGGGAGCACACCTCGACAACGAAGTGTCAGCTGGGAAATGGACAATAGAGGAGAAAGATCTGCACATCAACATGCTAGAAATGAAAGCAGTGATAAACGCCATACTCCACTGGACCAGCATTTTAAAGAATGCTCATCTAACGGTACACACGGTCAACTCCACAGTGGCGTTCTACATAAACAGACAAGGATCAACAAGGTCGGCGAACCTTCTGAACCTCTGCTTTCAACTGTTCAGCATAATAGACAATCTGAACATCCACATAAAAGCATGCCACATTCCAGGAGCCAAGAATGTGATAGCAGACGCACTATCTCGTCCAACTCAGCCATCCCCAACAGAATGGATGCTACATCCAGAGATCTTCAAACAGATCATACAAGAGATAGGAGCGCCACTAATAGACCTATTTGCCACAAGATTCAATATCAACTGGTAACATTCGTCTCTCCAATACCAGATCCACGAGCATGGGCAACAGATGCTCTAAGCATCTCTTGGGAAGGACTAAACGCTCACGCGTTCCCACCACCAGCTCTAATACCGAAAGTGTTGCAGAAAATCATACAGACGAAGAACCTGCAACTGATTTTGGTCACGCCTTACTGGCCAGCGAGAATATGGTTCCCCATTCTCATACAAGAACTAGGACTGCCTCAACTGCAACTACCAGAGTGGACGAACTTGCTAGTACATCCACACACAAAGCAAGCACACGGCAACCCACAGCTGTTCCGGCTATACGCATGGAGCGTATCAAGGCGTGCTTGAATAAGAGAGGATATTCCGCCAGAGCAGCTAAAGCGGTCACACTAGCTTTACGCAAGTCAACACGCAACTTGTACGACGACAAGTGGCGAAGCTTCGAGACCTACGCCTTGGAAACAGGCTTCACAGCCATAAAAGCGACACACCCTCAAGTGGCGGACTATCTTTGTCACCTAAGACAAACGAAGCGGTTAAAAGGGTCAACACTCTCAACATACCTAGCGGCATTGAGCTCAGTTATCACTATGAGGACGAGTGTAAAACTGACTAAGGTACCAGAGTTACTGGCCTTACTACGCTCTTTTAAACTGGAGGACCAACAACAGAGATTTAAAGCTCCGGCGTGGGACCTCAACATATTTCTACGGCATCTCACCAGTGACACTTATGAACCATTAGATAGGACATCTTTTGAGTTCTTGACGCAGAAAACTCTATTCCTGATCGCCTTAGCAACAGCAGCAAGGATGTCGGAAATACATGCTCTAGACTTTGAGAGGACACGATTTGATGAAAATCGAAACATCGTGCATATGGGACTGAGATGGGACTTTATAGCAAAGAATCAACTGCCAGGTCAACCGGACAGACAATTCCACATCCCAGCACTATCATCAGTCCTTGTGCCACAGGATACACAGGACCTATCCTTATGCCCAGTAAGAGCATTGAAAGTCTACCTACAAAGGTCTAGGACCAGGAGACGAAAATTCAAGCATCTTTTCCTCCCTATATCGACAGCGACACAGACGGAGATCTCTCGCACTACGATATCAATATGGATGAGAACTCATACTACGGGCCTACAAAGCTGCAGGACTTGATCCACCAAGAGCCTCAATCCACATGAAATTAGAGCTCTGGCGTCAACACTCGCTCTACATGGGAATTGCTCTATCACGTCGATAATGGAGGGCTGCTTCTGGAAATCGGACATGGTGTTTGCCAACCACTACCTGAGAGACATCGCCACCGAGGACGTCTCTGGCATTCACCATTTCGGCCCACTTGTTGTAGCACAACAATTGACAGTTCCACAGAGGCGCTGAGACGGAGTCGCGCCCTTTTATCACCTGACTTGCAAAAGCCTACACTCAGGAGAGTTACAGCTTTAGAGTCCATATGCACGTCTAAGACAGACTAGCATAAGTGATAAGACCCAGTACTTGTAAGGACGTACTCGTACATAAAAAGGGTCGCTTCTCCATTTGATGCTTGCATCAAGAGATGGAGTTGCAAAATCCACATAAAAATGTTAACAGAAGCAAGGACACCACCCGTCTTCCCATGCTTTACTCTCTCCGAATAGCTAGCCCGACACTTCGATTTACAGGGAAATCCAAAGTGCCTAGCGGGGAGGTTGGGAGGGCTTACCTCATGAGTGAGGATAAGTATAAAATATCAATTTTACTCAGAAAATTACATTTTTGTGGTTTCACTGGTAAACCTGACTTAGGCTGTGACTATGAGGATGTCATCTTGTTGCATTTACATGGCAACAAGTTAATAGGCTTCAACTGAATTTGGTGGTAGTGTTCCTTTCTGGAGCAGATCTTAAAAACCTTTTAATACTCTACTTCTGCTTTGCTATGTACACTCCAAAACATTTGACATAATCATAACTAGTAGACATATTCATAAAGAGTATTTTGCTGTTGCGGGGGATATTGATGACTTTGTCTTCTTGTTCTATATGGATTTGTTGACACTATTCCTGATGACTGTCCCCACATGGGTACAATGTGTGAAGCCCATTTCTGGTGTCCCCCGCCGTGATGTTGCTGGAATATTGCTAAAAGCGGCGTGAAACCAAACTCAGTCAGTCAGTCCTGATGACTGATCACGATCACGGGGGGTCAGCTGATCTATGGAACATACCATTTTGATACTTATTTGAAGGGTCAAGTTAGGGGGTCGGCTTATCTGTGAGATTGACTTATATATGGTAAATACAGTACTTTATCAGTGATATACCATGTATACAGTGTCTCAACTTCCACAAAGGTATGACTTCAGGCTTTCTTAACACATCAGGTGGACACACTAAAATACTGCTGCATTGATCTAAACTCACTCATCCGGAGAGCAGAAGGTCGCGGGTTCGATCCCCGACCACGTCATACCAAAAGACGTTAAAATATGGTACTTGTTGGTCCCTGCCTGGTGCTCGGCATTAATGGGTACAACAAGGACAGCCGTACATACACATACACATGCATGCACGTCGTCATATGAGAGAAATATTCTCAAGCACGATGTTAAACCCAATTTCACCTCACCTAAAATCACTCATTCAGATTTTCGTGTTTGTATTAACCAGTAAGACTGTATTTCTTCATCATGTTCATATGCACTAAGTAATCATATAATCACATACTATCAATGTTAACTTTGTTGGAGGTTGATTGCAAATATATGGTTACGTTTCAACATATGGATAAGAAAAGGACATTGCGGGATGAAATTAACTGTATGTCCACATACCCTGACAAATACAGTGGCTTAGATATTTTCATAATCATGGACAGCTTTGTATTCTTATTTTTCATTTCATTTTTCAGCATCATCCACAGCTTCCGAGTCTGAGTCCGGAACAGGGGAAAGCCAAAGTCAAGATTCTGATAACACGGCATTCCCTCTTGTCACTGGACAAGACACATCATTCAACTACCTTCAAGACCTCAAGAGACGGAAGATGAAGATGAAGAAACAAATGACCCCAGCAATGAAAACCAGCAAACTACTTGGACTCATTCGATTGCAGTCCAAAAACATTGGGCAATCTCCATCACCTAATCCCACCATCTCAGAATCATCAAATACTGAGCCCCCTTTCTTTGGTGATGAACATTCAGGTAAGTTGCTGCAATTTATACTAAAGTTTACACCTCATTCGAGTAGGAACCTTCTTAGACTTGGGCCAATCTACAGGGATGGCAATTTTTCGCTGATCCGCGGATTTCTGCCGATTTTATTTCAAATTGTTTAATTGTGAATCGTCTAAATCCATTAAGACACCCTCAACGCGATGACACAATATTAAGTTTTCAGCTGAAAATAGATTTTCCTGTTGCCATCCCTGAATCTAGAAATGTTTGAATGTCTCCTACTTGGGCTGATCATTGTTTGCTGTAAGATATTTATTATGTAAATCATCTGTAAAACACAAGTGATGGAGCATTTCATGCATGCAGAGGTCTTGCTGATGGTACTTAAGTATCTGTCATTTTACTTCAGTATCATTATGAACCTGGAATTGTGGACATAACTCAATTCATCCCCACTCCAAGCAACCATTAACTAGGTGATCACAGTATTTCTTTTGGAAAACGACAGATAATTTACAAAATACCATGAATATTTGGCACTGAGAATAGCTACTTTGTGTTCCATATAAAAAAGCGAAAAACTGACTTTTAACCATGTTCATCATTAGTATTACATGTACAGATTTGTTCAAACATGTTAACAAATGAAGAACTCATATTAAGGTTGTTTATCATTTCATGTTTCCAGGTATGAATGTGTTTGGAGAAGGGGAAACACCTACTGTGTTTGGAGGAGGGGAAACACCTTCTGTGTTTGGAGGAGGGGAAACACCTTCTGTGTTTGGAGGAGGGGAAACACCTACTGTGTTTGGAGGAGGGGAAACACCTACTGAGCAGGGCCAGTTGAATGTTGGGAAGCTGGAATTTGCGGCTATGCCAGGTATGAGGTGTAGAGTAACATGTCTGTGATCAGGCAGGTATTAATCTGTTGCTTGTGTATTCTTTTCATATTATAATAGTTCCCTTAAATGATTGGCATGAATGGGATTAAAAGGGACTGTCTGGCGTGGAGACAGTATCATGTGTATAGGTGGCAAATCCATGTTTAACTGAGGATTGGTGTCTCAGTAGGCTAGCACTATAATACAAGCATATCCGGCAATTAAGGACTAGCACAATGAGTTTGGTCAATACTGCCATTTGATTATCAATGCCTTTTTGTGACACTTGGTTTCTAATACACAGGATATATGTGTTAATGAACGCGTTGGGTGGTTCCTGTATGATCCTGTATGGTTCCTTTGATCATGTAGAATCAACCACTTGCTTTTCTGGCCTACACTGAATTAAATTTTATTTGCAGTAATGTAGGTGTAGTATTCCTGGCAGCAATTATAAAAGCCATTCATTTCCTTGTTGATTACGTTTGTTAATTTGCATCTTTCTGGAATTTAGATCAATGCAATATTGTCAAACTGTCAAAGACTGAATTTTATGGTCATGTAAATGTTACTACTCCATTATGAGTTTGAGTGTTGTAAATGCCGTACTCAACAATTTTCCAGCTGTGTGACCTAAATAATCATATGTAGACCACACAAACCAGTGTTTGCCATTTTCAATATGAGTAGAGGTATTGTATGTTCAGGTCTAGTTTAAGAATCAGATTTTACTACTGTCTATGCAATAGGTCAGTTTTCCTAATTTATTCTCCTTTTTCTGCAGGCTACAATCCAGTAGAAACTCCTGTGGCACCAAACAGTGAAACACCATATCAGTGTCGACTGTGTCCAGTGGCTTTTGCAACACCATTGTCCCTGAGAGGTCACATGTCAAGCCACAGACTTCCTAAAAAGTTTGTATGTCCTATCTGTGCAAAGTCCTTTGCTCATTCTAGCACACTCAACTACCATGTCCGCAAGCACAAAGGAGACCTGAGGTACAAATGTGACCAGTGTGACAAAAGATTCCTCAAACCGTTCAGGCTAAAAGCTCACATCTTGTCCATGCATTCTTCAGAGAAGCCTTTTGCATGTCGGTACTGTGAAAAGTCATTCAGCTCCAATATGAACTTGAACAGACACACCAGAGTACACACAGGGGAAAAGCCATTTCTCTGTCTCCTCTGTGGCAAAAGATTCAGAGATAACTCATCTTTCTCCATGCACCGAAAGTACCACAATGAGAACAAACTTTTTGAATGCGATCTATGTGGTAAGACATTTGTCAAAATGGGTTTGCTTCGAACACACAAAAAATGTGTACACGTAGTTGACAAAATACATGAATGTTTCCTGTGCAACAAAGCATTCAAAGCTAGGGATTACCTCCGAAAACATTTGATGGTCCATCAAACAAACAAGCGGTTTAAATGTGACTTTTGTGAGTCATCCTTCTCCAGAGCTGGAGCGCTGAAGAAACACAGATATCTGCACACTGGAGAGGAACCATTCAAGTGTGATGTATGCTTGAAAGGTTTCCGGGACATTTACACTCTGACCAAACACAAACGGCTACATGAGAGGAAAGTTGAAAGTAATCCTCCACTGTCCGTGGATGAAGTAAATGAGAAGAAGGCACAGTTGTATGAATGTGATAAATGTAACCGAAAATATTCACTATCAGGTTCATTAAAAATCCACAAGCAAAAATACTGTAAAGGGGAAATTGAAGTGAAAAATGAAGAGCTGAATCTGTTTTGCACTGGATGTGGAATGCTCTTTCACCACAAGCAGTCTCTCGCAAAACATATGAGGAAGACATGTGAAGCTATAGTTAGGAAGAAGGATAAGGTGTTTCTCTGCAGTACATGTGGCCTGGTATTCTTCTCTAAGGTGATGCTGAATGATCACCTCAGAACCACAACATGCTCCCGGAAACACAAGCCCAGAAAACTACAAATGTGGGGTGTGTGGTGCTGAATTTTCTCACAGGGCAACTCTTTCCAAGCACAAGAAACTGCATGGGGATATGCTGCCAGATGCGGCTGATGATGATGCTACCGCAGGTGACAATGCTGAGGAAGAATCTTCAAAGATGTCCTTTCCAGTTGATGAGAATGGCAAGAGGTTGTATGAGTGCAAGTACTGTAAAGAGACATTTAGAAGCAAAAGTGCCCTCTATGATACACACATGAGAAAATGTCATGATCGTCCGGCATTGGAGAAGAAGAATGAATGCGAGTTTTGTAGTCGGAAGTTTCACAGCAAGTCTGATCTTAGAGCTCATATACGTATTCATACAGGAGAAAAGCCATTTACATGTGGAATTTGTGGAAAATCCTTCACACAGAGAGGACATGTGTCAATGCACATTAAGATACACACTGGACAGAGAGACTTTCCATGCACAATTTGTGGCAAGGCTTTCCAGTTTGCTACAACCCTCCGCAACCATGTCAAGTTGCACACTGGTGAGAGGCCTCATGTCTGCCATCTTTGTGGAAAAGGCTTTATTAAAAGTAACAACTTGAAGAATCATATCAAAATGCATGAGAAAAAAGAGAAAGAGATGGAGGAAAATGCAAATAGACGTCCTGAAGAATTCATTCCCGCAGATCCAAATGATTGCACCATCTCGTTTTCTCCACTGAAGAAAACTCCGTCAGGAAAACTGTTAGCCCAGGCAAGAGGAACCCCATCTTCTTCAAGGACCCGTATATCAAATCGAGCATCCAAAGGTTCAGGCATGAAAAAGCTTATTGAGGAAGAGATGACACCTGTTGAAGAACTTGGGGAGGAGTTGCCTGTTATAAAGAAGGAGCCTGTGGAAGCTGATGAACAAATGCCAGATGAAATGGGAGAGAGCAGTGACAATATACAGGAAGAGACTGGCGAAGAGCCTGTTGCTGTGGATCTGAAGTGTCCTTTTTGTGGCAAAATATGTTCCTCACCATACCATCTTGCAACTCATATTAAATGTCACACTGGGGCTAGACCATTCATGTGCAAAGATTGTGGCAAGTCTTTCCTGCAGGCATCTCATCTGAGAAGTCATATGCAGATCCATGGCAAGAGGGAGCAAAATTTCCGCTGCATTGTCTGCCTTGAAGAATTTGCTACATCCAAACTTTTACACTCGCACATGAAGTTGCATAAGGGGGAAAGACCCTATGGCTGTTATTTCTGTGACAAAGCATATGGCACATCTCAACACTTACGTAGGCATGTGAGAAGTTCTCACCCTGAAGAAATGGATATTGACATGAATGTCTTATTGATGCCTACCTCCACATTAAATGATGGCCGTGCAGTGGACGAAGAAAAAGATGGCACAGGGCGACGTGTTTACAGGTGTCACTTCTGTGAAAAGTTTTATTTTCTTGACAGACATTTGAGAAGACATGTCCAAACAAGCCATCCTGAAAGAGATCCCAAGAATTTGTATTTTCTCAGACCACCCAATACAGACGGGGAAGATTCAAAATCTGATAGTGTCAGCGTTAAAACGGAAAGTATGTGGGACCCTGACTCTTCCAATGATTATAGCGCATCTGAAATGACACCTGGCAAGGACACATCACTCACAGATGTACAGATGACGGCTGGCCACACATCCAGTATTGAAGGTCCTGATACAGAGGCACCAGAGAACTTGCAGGAGAGGATCTATGTTCCCCCAGTGATGCAGCAGACCATGTCGAGTTCTGTTGACTCAAATGGTTCAGAGAAAAGCTTGTCTCGTGCTAGTTCCCCTGATCAGAATATGCACTCAGAAAGTAATGAGAAAGATGAAGATTTTATTGTTGAAGTGAAGCAGGAACCAGTTGATAATGATTATGAAAACTGATTTTGTTTTACATGGTGATGTTGCAAAAGAATGGAATCTCTGAGTTGAATATCCAGTAAACAGTGGACTGTGCTGGCCAAAAGGAAGTTGAGTTTGAAATAGTAATTATCTCCCCTTGACCATATGATTATAAGTGTTTGGCTGCAAACATGGTTAAGCTATATTATTTTGAGGGGTTAATATTGAAATATTTACATCTTTCTTCAGTTTTAAAGCTTGTTTGGAGGAATTGTTTACTTTATACATGATTTTGGATATGGTACTAGTTATTTTTAAGGTTTTAAGTTACCTTATCTACTTTCTTAACAAATACATTTCCTTGTAAGGTATTTTTGTCAGCCCAAATGTCCAGATGTTTACTGTTGGACTCGTAATGTCAAGTGTTGTCATAACTGTAGTCTCGTTTTTGTTGATATTACCTCAAGAATTAGTCATTTAGTCAGTGAACAGGTCACAGTGAGAATATTTCTCTTTTGCTTTAAGGTGTTAAAGACTGCACAAAGTCAGCTGAATTAGATTCTAGAATTCTAGGTAGTGTAATCATGGTACATAATTGTAAATCTTTTGATTGTAAACATATTAAACTCCATAATCATTGTAATCATGTTCCGAAAATAGTATGTTTACATTTTGTAAATAATAGATGTTTTACTGTAATCCTTAACTATGATTTCATTAGATCATGTCATAATATCCGCATAATATATAACCTTTATCACTGGTTATGTTAAGTACAAATAAACAATGCCTTGGTCATGTTGACAATGTTTACTGGGATAGATAACCTACTTGAATGTGCCTGCACAGTAGCAAGATAGCACCTTAGTTGAATTGTATATAATCATTACACAGTATGCACTGTATTATCTTATGTTGTAACACAGTGTAACATGTTCAGTACTTACATGTTTTGGCATGCGATACTAGTAGAAATATAATACTGACCACATGTAAAATACTGCTTACCAATGTTGCAGTAAATGAATTCATTAACGTCATTTTCATTGTTTTCAGTAAGTGTGTGATGAACTGTATGCTGTGCTGTCTTGCAGACATGCCAAGTATGATGGTACTTTTTACAAGCTGGGTACATGCACATATTTTCATGAGCCAGCAAGCTTGTGTGTAATATTCTAATAAGGCCCACAGAAATCATTGGGGGTGATATCATTTCAGAATCACCAGTCTTGTCCCGTGTAGGAATGCAGTACACTGTACTGAGGGTTTAGCCCAGTGTTTTGTCCCTGTGGTAGGATAATGTTTTCACTGAACATGACATCATCTGTTTATCAGTGACATTATGCTTATCATTTAATTGTTTATCTAGCCATGTTCGTTAGTAACAGTTGTGATGGATCTTGAAGATTGTTGGTAGTCATTCTCTCACTTTGTTCATTTTACACTTTACAATAAGACTCAATATTCCATTTATTGCCATTTATGACAGTAAATACACTTGTATCAAATGATGTATGCAAGGTAGGATTTTGTAGACATTTTGCAAAAGACTTACACTTAACATGGCTCTTGGAAATGCCTATCCTCCCTGATATAGTATCCAGTAAATACAGCTTGAGAAACCCCCAGTTTGTACCATGTGTCATATTTGATAGCGTTGAGTGTTTAGGACATGTCTGGTTCCCCATGTTGATTTATGATCTGGTCTTGATCTGATGATCTGTGCACTTTGTCCACACTACACTGGTACATGTTCATGTATCCTGACACTTCTATACTGTTATTGGCCTACATCAGCTTGTATCAATGGTTTGACAATTCCGTTCAATGATATTTGACCTTTCTTAAAATTTGTGCATGCAATATGAGATATTGTTCTATTGGAACATGAAATTGGTGTCACAGTGTAGCAAGTTTGTTTACCAACTTCTGAGATGTGTGTAGATGTCGTGCTTAAGGTGTCAGCATACATCAACCTGAAACTGTTACTATTTATCTTGGATGTCTGTAACTTTTTTGTGGTCTGTTTTTTCTGTTGTGAAAATGAGATATATTTTGCCAGGTAGTATATTAATTGTGAGATTGGTTTTATATGAATTAAAGAACTGTTTTGTTTTGTTTGTGATATGCTAAACCCGTGAAGGTCCAGGTTAGAATGAACCTTCAGTAACCCATGCTTGTCGTAATAAGAGGCGACTAACGGGATCGGGTAGTCAGGCTCGCTGGCTTGGTTGACACATGTCATGGTATCCCATTTGCGTAGATCGATGCTCATGCTGTTGATCACTGGATTATCTGGTCCAGACTCGATTATTTACAGACCTCTGCCATATAGCTGGAATATTGCTGAGTGCTACGTAAATCTAAACTCACTCACTCACTGTAATATGCTAAGGTGTGACTGTCATGTTTTTTGTTATCTTTAAGAAGAGTCATTTACGATGCTATCTTGGGATGTATATTGCCAAAGAACGTTCAAAATGACAGTATTGCAAACCTGGAAATGATTTAATATGCTTGGACACAGATTCCCTATTTAATAGTAATCTTGTGTTTCTCAGTACACAACAGGCAACTATTACAAGTTCACACTGGTGAGAATTTCTCCTGGGTGGTCACCCTGTGAATAGGCCATTAGTCTAAAGCTTGAGTTGAGTAAGATATTTTTCTGTCTGCTAATATCATTGTGTTATATATATTATGACTAGTTGGCCACAGACTGCACCAATGGAATGTTGGAGGTCCTACAACTCCTGGAGGTGATGATGTCATTTCTTTGTACATGTTCTTTCCTTAAAACTGCAATCACATCATGTAATCAGTTCTTTTCATTGCTTATGTTGGTAATACTAAATTGCAATGAAAGAGTACATCAATGATGTTGTGTAAAGACAATGATGAAAAGAAACTGTATGTTATTCAACGTATGAGTTAAAATTTGCTTGACTCAAAAGGCTTTTACAGCTGAACAATTTGATGCCAGTAATTATTTTTGGATATTCCTGTTATGCAAGTGTTACATCATTAGAGTACTGTATATCCTTTAACCACCATGACTAAGGATGCCTGCTGGTCTCTATTTACTGGGGTGGGAGGTAACCTTCTGGTTCAGGCATTAGCTCATCCACCAGAAGACTCAGAATTGATTCTCCACATGAAGTGTGCTAAACCCATTTTGGTACCCCCAGTATGATATATGGTTGGAATATGTTAAAATCATTTTATGGTTATGGAAAAGATTTTCAAAATTAATTCAGGTGGTTGTGCATTTTTAAAAAGCCTTTGTCAAAATACCAATCCAATCTTCCTTTGTACATGGAAAGCACATCCTAGCTATAAACACTATATACCCCATTAAGTCATCATTTGTCAACATTTAATTGAAGTGTTTTTCTAAGAAATGTCTACATGAATTTTTTTTCTTTTAAACTATATCCTGCATGTTGATATTTGATAAAACAGAGGAACAGGCCGTCAGACATCTGCAACATTTTGTGTTCATTCCCAAGAACATGGTTTATGCTTCCCAATATTTCTGCTTGAGTGAGTTGTAGATGACTTTGCACTTCTTTTGTGTATGTAAATGTACATCCCACAATTTGTAAGTATTTTCGCATTATGTTAATGATTTTGCATGCTTCATATAACTAATGGCCAATGTGTTTGGTCCTCACAGCAGTGTAGACTTTTTCATCATAAACTTCTATTTCAATTTACATATCGGCTTGCTAGTGATGTTATAGCTCAGATTGTGATGACTTGTGTCAGTTCACTTTTGTAATATGTGTTTGATTGTGCAGTGTCACTTGTTACCTTTCTTATTATGTTCTGTTCCGTTGCCTCAGATCTCCTCAAATATTACATAGCAAACTTGACAGGGGCTAAAACCAACAACATGTACAGCCTTGTTCAGTTTAATGTTTCTGTGAGCGAAAAGAGCAAACAATTTTGAGTTACTAAGAATCTTTATGTAATTCTACAGTTTACCAAGGCTTGACAGATTATATTGTATGATTTTGCTTAATTCAAATTCTGTATCAAGTCGACTCATCTGAACAAAATCCCAAAGCATAAACCCACAGTAATAATTCATGTACCGGTATATGAAATGGCCCATGTCTGTGTTCATACATTCAAGAATAAAATCCTATCTTTTTGAAGTGTGCGTTCCTTGACTTGTATTTCTTGTCAAACATGTACATTCTCAGTGGTCAGCTGTCAGTACTGAGATTTTAAGTTGAAAGTGCTGCTTCTGTTTCAGCTAGCACTTCCAAACTCCTCATGTGTATCTGAATGTTAAAGGGGAACCTGAATTATGAGGTGAGGTGAAATTGGGTTTTACGTCGTGCTTGAGAATATTTCGCTCATATGACGACGTGCATGCGTGTGTATGTGTATGTGCGGCTGCTTGTACTAGCCCAGACTTAAGCTGGTTTTATAGTGCTAGCCTACTGAGATACCATGCCGCAGTGAAGCATGAATACCCCACTCAGACACATTATACTGACTCCGAGCCGACCAGTCCTTGTTGTACCCATTAATGCCGAGCGCCAGGCAGGGACCAACAAGTACCATATTTTAACGTCTTTTGGTATGACGCGGTCGGGGATCGAACCCGCGACCTTCCGCTCTCCGGGCGGACGCTCTAACCACTACACCATGGAGGCGGTCCCTGAATTAGTGTCAGTGGATATGTAAGATGCGCATTGGTATCTGAGGGTTAAAGGGGAACCTGAATGCTGAACTGTCAGTGAATATATACTCAGCAGCAAAACAACGTCAGTACGAAGTCAAAATTAGATAGGCACTGTAATCAAATCATTACAGAAATTGACATAATAAGCGGATCAAAAACATTTTTTGTGTACAATATTCTGACACATCAATAGATAACTCAGCACAAATTCAAGACATTACGTGAACGTTTGCAGCCGATTCAGACTCTTGACTTCAGTATCTAGTGTGACCACCACGAGCGGCAATAACTGCAGCACAGCGTGTATGCATGGAGTGCACCAATTGATTGATGAAGGCCATTGGCA